CTACATACAGATGAAATCCAAAGAATTATATATCCCAAAAATTAGAAACCTGCAACAGCCTTACCATATCATAAAAGACCAACACCTGTTGATATCCAATTTGAAGAAACTTTCATATCTAATACTTCTTCCTATTCAGGAAGAACTTTAGTAAACTGGAATATAGATGGCATCTCTAAACATCAAAATCTTAGATATTATGAGACATATGACAATGTATGCATCTGCATGCAAAATGGTAGGAACCCATGATCAAGAAATGGCAAAAGCTATAATCTGTGGGTTTACAGGATGGTTACGTGGATGGTGGGATCTTCATCTCCCATAATCCATTAAAAAATAAATATTAAATAATACACGACAATGGGCTGCTAAAAAAGAACAAAACCAAGATGTCTTGTATACGGAAAGTGATGCTGTCAATACACTAATTTACACTATTACTCTCCATTTTATAGGAAATACAGCTGTCTTAACATTTAAATCCGAAGATCTTTTATCTAATTTAAGATGTCCAACTCTATCCCATTATAAATGGTATAAAGATATATTTTTTTCTCGTTTATTACTCAGAGAAGATAGTCAGCTTGAACATTGGAAAGAAAAATTCATAGCTGGCTTACCTTATTTATTTGCTGAAAAGGTAAAAAAACGTCTTAAAAATAAAAATAGTGGTATAATAAATTATTCTAAATATACGTTAGGAGAATTATCTGCTGAAATATGTGCTAAAGGATTAGCATTATGCACAGATATGAAATTAAAGAAACAACTTGATAAACAAAAAATGACTGGTAGAAAAGAATTAGGCGATTTTTGTGAACAATTTTGGCTACCATATAGAAAAAGATAAAATTTATAAATCTCATAAAAAAATACATAGATCTAAACAAAAAGAAAAATATCATTCTAAGAAATATAAACATAGAGAGAAAAGAGTTCACAAAATTGTTCACAAAAATCGCCTAATTCTTTTCTACCAGTCATTTTTTGTTTATCAAGTTGTTTCTTTAATTTCATATCTGTGCATAATGCTAATCCTTCAGCACATATTTCAGTAGATAATTCTCCTAGCGTATATTTAGAATAATTTATTATACCACCAGTTTTATTTTTAAGACGTTTTTTTACCTTTTCAGCAAATAAATATGGTAAGCCAGCTATGAATTTTTCTTTCCAATATTCAAGCTGACTATCTTCTTTGAGTAATAAAAGGGAAAAAAATACATCTTTATACCATTTATAATGGGATAGAGCTGGACATTTTAAATTAGATAAAAGATCTTCGGATCTAGATGCTAAGACAACTGTATTTCTTATAAAATGGAGAGTAATA